TCTATGCTAGGCCGGACCAGTTCTTCCTTTTGACAAATTCTGACAAGATGATCTGGCACGCCTTCTAGAGCAATTTTTGATAGTATATCTGCTTCTGTGTTGTCGGCTCGCGAGATATACTCTATCTCGTAGGCGCCGAATCCCTTCAATAGCTCTACCGTTTTCTCCTTATATTTGGCCATCCGGACGTTCTTAGCTTCACAGGTCCCGGACACTTGTCCCACCACTAGACGAGAGTTGGTCTTGATTCGTAGGCATCATGCCCCTAATGTCTTGGCGAGTCGTAGACCTCCCAATACAGCTTCATATTCGGCCTCATTGTTGTATGTCTGGAATAGATAACTCAGAGCGTAATAGAGCCTGAACCCTTCTGGAGTAATCAACATGATTTCGTCGCCGCTCCATCCACGTGCATCTCTCACCATTCGCCGGGGCCATCCTCTGAGATGGCATCCTTGTCATCTTCTCCTGCAGTGCACTTGACTAAAAAGTCGGCCAGGGCCTGTCCTTTAATCGACGGGCGAGGCTGGTACTCGATTCCGTATTGGGTCAGCTCTACTGCCCACTTCACGAGCTGACCGGTCGACGTGGGATTTCGTAACACGCCACCCAAGGGTTGATCTGTCAAGACTCGAACGGTGTGGGCCTGGAAGTAGGGTGCCAGTTTACACACGGTGATCACCAAAGCGGTGATCTCCAAGGGTGTGTACCACGTTTCGGCTGATTTCAAAGAACGACTTACATAGTATACCGGGTGTTGAGTGCGTTCTTCCTCTCGAACAAGCACCGAACTTACCGCCCTGAGGGATGTTGCTAAATACAAAAACAATGGCTCACCAACCCGAGGGGTGGATAGTACCGGAGGTGTAGAAAGGTATTTCTTCAGCTCTTCGAATGATTGCTGGCACTCGGTGGTCCACACGAAACCCTCCTTTCTCTTCATAACCTCGAAAAAGGGCACGGTCTTGTCCGCCGACTTACTTAGGAAATGACTCAGGGCAGCCAGTCGACCAGTCAACCGCTGTAGGTCTTTAACGGTGCTAGGAGGCTGCATATCCATAATGGCTTGTACCTTCTCAGGGTTGGGCTCGATGCCCTTCTTGGTAACCATATACCCTAAGAACTTCCCACCTTGCACGGCGAAAGCGCACTTTTTCGGATTAAGCCGTAAATTGTATTTAAGCATTACCTGAAAGCAATCGGCCAAATCCCCAGCATGATTGATTTCCTCTCGACTCTTTACTAATATGTCGTCTACGTAGGCCGCCATAGATTTCCGAATGGCATGACTTGGTAACAATACACCCCATCCGGGGTCAGGAACGCTGTTTTCTCTTCATCGGCTTTGTGCATGAAGATCTGGTGATATCCTCTAAAGGCGTCCATGAAACTCAGCAATGCCGACCCAGCCGTCTCGTCGACCAACTGATCGATCCGAGGTAATGGAAACGAGTCCTTCGGATAGGCTTTGTTGAGGTCGGTGTAATCTACACACATTCGCCAAACCGGGGGCTTTGGCACGAGCACCACGTTAGCCAGCCATTCTGGATATTTAACTTCCCGAATGTGGCCTGCGGCCAACAGCGTGTTTACCTCTTTCTTCACAAATTCCCTTCGATCGTTGGCTAGATATCGCTTCTTCTGGATCACCGGTCGATGATTGGGGTCGACAGCGAGCCGATGCGAAATGATAGACCTGTCCACTCCCGGCATATCTTCTGGCCCCCACGCGAAGACCAAGCGGTTCTCTCGCAGCACCCTTATGACTTCCTCTCGCACCTCTTCTCTGAGGCCGATTCCGACTCTGACTCGTCTCTCTGGTTGTTCAGGGTCAATTTCAACTTCTTCCAGCTCTACGGCCGGTTCCGGGTGGGGTATCATTGTCTTCTTTAGGGGTCGCTCTGTGATCTCATGGACCTGCATTTCACGTTTGCCCATGCCTCTGCAAGCTTGCAGGTAACAGTCACGGCGACTCTCCTATCGTAACGGACCATACCCACCCCATTCGGCGTGCGGAACTTCAAGCAGAGATGCTCGATGGAGATCAGTGCTCCCAAATCTTCTAAACCCGATCGGCCGAGTATCGCGTTGTGAGAACACGCCAAGTCGACCACAATGAACTTCATGTCCAGCTTCTGCACGTCGGGGTAGCTGCCGATTTCCACGGGCAGGGTGATGGATCCTTCAGCCTCCACGGAGTCGCCCGTGAAGCCGCCGAGTGGTGTTTTGACAAGGATCAGTTGCTCACGTGACAGTCCCATCTTGACGAAGGTCTCGAGGTACAAGACATTGACGCTGCTCCCGGTGTCTACCAGGATCCGCCGGACAACAACCCCATTCACGTCCATCGCAATGACTAGGGCATCGCGATGTGGTGTCTCGCCTGTGGGTAGATCCTTGTCTGTGAAGACAATAGGCTCTGGGCAGGCTTTCTTCGAGCCACCCTCTCGTCCGTATACTGTTCCTACGTACAATTGTCGGGCCCAGGCCTTTCTGGTGTTCGTGGAGTCGCCCCCCTCAGGTCTGCCGACTATCATATTGATGACTGGCTTCTGTCTCCACTGAGCCTCGCTTTCATCGGTCGCCGGCTGTTTGCTGCGGCTGCCTTCGACCGCCCCTAGGGGGTCGCTGTCTTCCTTGGTTGCTGACTTTCTCCGCCACTGGTTGGGAGGCGGTGTTCCTTGCTGGATGATCCCCTCCATGATCTTTTTCAAATAGTAACATTCTTCTATGTTGTGGGTGTGCGACTTATGATAGCGGCAGTATTTAGATGTCTTACCTGGGTCCTCGTTCACTGCGCGCTCCTCACTAGGAAGGGGCGGAGGAGGCGCGACCGCTTGCACCTCATGTATCGGATGCTGGGGAATCAGCCGATAGGGTTGGAGCTAGGCCTGTCGTACGGGCGCCGTGCCTCAGGTCGCCTAGCTGGCTCTGGGCGCCTCTCTTTTGTTTCTCTGCGGGTTCGCTTTTCGCTAACTGATCCTCCGACCTCTCGCTGTCGCTTATGCTTCATGGCTTATTCCGTGTTGGCCCGTTTGTTGGCCATATGTATGGCTTCCGCGTAGGTGGCTGGCCGGTTATCCCGTAGGTCACGGTATAGCTGCCCGGATCATAAAGATTCTACGAAGAAGGTGAGGGCGGTCTGGTCCTCGACCTCCTCAATGGATTGAATCTCCTTTTGCCATCGAGCCAGGTATGTTTTGAGAGATTCACCCTCCTCCTGATGGATATCTCCCAGATGCGTTAAATCTTTTTGCGGTTTGATGTTAGTCGCATAATGACTCATGAAGCGGTCGGCCAATTCCTCGAAGCTGCGAATCGAGCCTGAGGGCAAGGCCACGAGCCATCTCTGCGCCGAGCCCTTCAGTGTTAGTAGGAAGGCGCGACACATGACGGAATCTCGAACCCCCAACACTTGCATTTTCGCTTGATAGCTCAAGAGATGCTCGCGTGGGTTGCCGAATCCGTCGAAGGTGGCCTGTTCTGGGAACTTAAAGTCGCCGGGTATCTTGTACGCCATAATCTCAGCCGAGAAGGGCAAGGCGGTGAGCAACGTCCGACCTGGGGACTTGGTTCTACCTTCTACTTGCTCCTTCAGATTCCGCAGCTCTTGGGCCAAGTGGGCCACATCCCCAACATTGCAAGCGTGGTTTCCCGTGGACTCTGTACTTTCGCCGACCTGTGACTCAGCCTGCCGTTCCTCGTTGCGAATTGGCTGCTCGGCCTGTCGCGCTCGAGTTTGCGTTCTTCTAGTACGAGTTCTTTCTCGATTAACTTCTTGATTCTGTCGACCCGCTCTGGGGCGACTGGGTTCTTCTCCGCCAAGTCGTTCTCTTGCCGAGCACGGGCCCAACCTCGAATGCACCGATCGCGCGGGTGGTTCTTCCATGCGTTATTCCTCTCGTCTTCCTCCATCCAACCTCTGGGGTGCTTGTGGGTTATGCGGTTGTATGTTCGTTGATCGCGAGACTGTCGACTCTCTCCTGTCATGAGTTTCTGCTGCAACAGCACGAGCAATGGCCTGAATTTGCTCGGGAGTGAGAGGTATGGTCGTTTGAGGTCGGTTTCGAGGTGCTGAGTCGTCCCCTTGACTCTGCGAGTTGCGCTGATTCAGCTGGTTCCTTAAGTCGGCTTCTGGCTCACGGTTTCGATTGGAGGCACGGCTTCGTCCCTCAGACATCTTCTTACTCGCTCGTCTCTCCTATCCTGCGAATTTCGATGCTCAAAAATGACAGTAGCTCTTTGTTTCGATTCCCACAGACGGCGCCAGTGTTGGTTTTAGGGTTTTTGGGCCCAGAGAGGTCTAACACAACCTTAGTTGGTGGATCCACCTTTCAACAAAGCTTTGAAAAAAGGGAAAAGAATAACTGAAAGTGAAAGAGTGCTTCTCTATTCTCTAGGCATGGACTCGCCCCCTTTACATTCACGGAGGGGCCTTTATATAGTAGACCCTCCATTAAACCGAGTTAAAACACATTAAAAGGTCCCTAAGTGCTAATTATGCCTTGAGGCCATTGGGTGCCGTTACCGGGCTGACCAACGGCTCTTTTGGGCCTCTCAACGGCTTATTAGCCGAGCCCTTTAAATGTTACTATAAATGCCCCGCAACGGCTCTTGCCGAGTCCTCACTCTTCCCTAGGCCTGGGCCGCCTCCCGGACTCGGCCCAGGCCTCTATCGGGTCCTGCTATTGGTCCAAACTTTTCACTCACTGGGCCATGCCTTATTCGTTCTGGGCTCTTCTTCTCTTCTTGGACTTCACCCTTTGGGCTTGCTCTTCTTGGGTCGGGGTCCACACCCCATCATATACCATAACAAAAAGTACATTATTTGTGTACGGAATGTATATTATTTGATAGTATGATCTACACAGTTGCTAATATTCTATTAAGTTCAAAAACCCTTTCTTAACTAATTTTTTGGTGCATTTATTTCTTAATTAAGTGTTCAACTTGTAATAACTCAAATAAATTGGACTGAAGGATAAGTAGCAAATATATACCTGTTCATCCCAGTTTGTACGTATGGTAATAACTAACAACAGTAATGCCTGGGTGCCACAGCCTCCAATAATTCCTATCCAAAGTCCCTGCCACCAGCATATAATGTTCAAACAAAGATAATACAATATAAAAGAATTGAAAGGAAAATGTTTTTTTTTTTTTTTTTTTTTTTTTTTTTGAAAACGAAAGGAAAATGTTATTTGTACGTAAATTACAGATCTACAATTTTATATTCACGTGTCACATAAATTAATCAAATGAATTTCTAACATGTTTTCATTTGGTGATAATTTTTATTTCTTTTATAATTTATTTTTACCTTACCAGTTACCATGCCTCCTAATCTCCCATATCTAACTATTCATTATTGTTTCCAATAATAAAAATAAAATTTAAAAAAAAAAAAAAAAAAAAAAAAGAAGAAGAAGAAGGAGGAGGAGGTTGAGTCGAGCCAAACTTTAAAATATTAGGCATGAGCCTGTTACAAAAATCTAAGGTTTGGGCCTGAGCTTATATGTAGGCTATTTGTTAGGCTTAAGACTAAGCTGACAATTGACTTGGTCTGACCTGAAGCCTTTTTAAAAGTATGTTTATGTGGACTCGAGTCCAAATGTTCACAATTTACCTTTTAAAAATTCACAATTTGTATACTACGACCACACAATGTTAACATATATGTAATTGATTACCTTGCTTGTATTCACAAGTTACTTTCAAATACTGCAGTCACACAATATTAAAAGATTAGGATTTGATGACCATGTATATATTGTATTCACAAATTCTATTATACAGTTGTTATGTGTTTTGCTTAGAAACACAGTTTATATTCTACAAGTTAACAATTCTAATACTGAAAATACACAATTTATATGTCATTTAGGACAAGGGTCCATCTTGCAAGGTGAACCCTTGTCCATGGTTTAATATGTAAGCCATTAAAAAAGTCTTCAAAGTAAGTCATGATTTGAGCTTATTTAAAGCATACATGTTAAGTCTTTTTAATAACTTTAATAAGTATTTTAAAATAATTTATGAAATATACCTAATACAAAACTAATACATAACTACATAAATATATCACCACAATGCAAACATATTAGCATTAAAACATAAAAAAAAAAATAAGTCACGACTTCAACATGCTCGTTAACTTGTTTAGGAATAAATTCAATTGTATTATTGCTTGTCATCCTATATAATCTCATAAATAGTTAACAATAATTGAATTTTTTTTTTTTTTTGAGTAATATTGACCCTGTTACATGTAATATTTATTCATATATACTTTCTCAACCTACTGAAACCCAACGAGTCAATAGCGCCTCCACTAAGGCTCAAACCCATGACCTCCCACTTAGGAGAGTCACTTCATGCCGTCTTTCGCATGTTTACAATTGAATAAGAATTTAGAATGAGATTTTGAAGGTGGAGGGTTAGGGTTTGGTAATTATATATATTTGGGGTTATATTATAAATATAAAAATATATTAGGTATAAAATAGAATATATATTAACTTAATATTATATATATAGTCAAGTTCTAGTGCAGTCAGACCTTAACGTGCGGTCAGTGCGGTTGCACCATTTTAGATATGCAAACACGCATCAATAGTGTTAAGAAACGCACAAAAAAAATGCACCAATGCACCAAAAATACACCATTAGGTACGCATCACCACGAACACACCATTAGGTATACAGAAACGCACCACACATTGTTCGAAAACGTACAATAAGGTATAAGGAGGTATGGTGCATTTTTTTTTGAATGTGGTGCGTTTTGTAATGCATTTCATTGTTGTGCGCCTAACTAGGTCTTAATTACCAAGCCATAAGCCCCTACAAAGGGGCCTAGCGTATTTCCATCCATAATAACAACCAACTATCTTCATCGAGAATCAGTCTCATGTCACAAAAACAAATAAACACTCTCACCAAATCAATAAAGCAATAGTTTCAATTCATTCTTAAACTATTCAAAATATTTTATTACACAAATACTTTCTTGAAACAACTACAATAAAATAGTACTAGACGCTTTTGTACAAAAAGCAACTCTTTTTACCAAAATAACTTTAATTTGACTAAAAATTTCATACCAAATAAGTACTTTACTTTTCTTTAAAAAAAACCTAGTAGTTTTAAAATAATACATATTACTTTCATACCTAAACCCTAAAAAATAATAATAATAAAGCTGAAAAATGAAGAATATAATTTTCTATTCATTGTAAAAAGTGTAAAACTAGCATGAAACACAAGTAGTATCCTTGAGAGACATACCTTTCCACCTAAGTTTAGTACAAAAGCTAAGATGAGGGCAAACGGAACTCCAACAAGATAATAAGCTCCAAGGTTCACAATGGCACCAATCTTTTGCCAACCACATCCTCTTGCGTTTCCTATATATTCACTTTTCATTAGTACAATGTTATATATTTAATTTGACTAAGTAATATTAAAAAGGTACAAACTTGTACGAGACTGTCTCACGGATTATTTTTGTATACTTTCAATTACGGAATAATAAATTATGTATCAATTATAATTAACATTTTATGTACCAAAAGTTAACATATTATGTACATGCAATTAATGAATAATGTATTTATTACAATTAACGTATTGTGTACCTACAGTTAACATATTATATACCTTCAATTAATAAGTTATGTACATATTACAATTAACATATTATTTACCTTTTACACATACACAACGCAAGGTGGGCCCTGTTTCATGGTATAATTTGCCCTTAAGTTGGTCAGACTATTGACTTGGTAACCACAAGGTTACAAGTTCGTCTCATCTCCCAGCGGAGAGACCTATTTGTATTCTTAAAGAAGGTGTATTCAATCATGACTTTTGTAGAGTTTTAAAGACTTTTAAAATGATAGATTTTAATAAACTTTGATTGACTTTCATTGAGTCGTTCAAAACTTTTTTAAAGTTTAAATAAAAAACATTCATAGACTTTTATCAACTTTTTATTTTAAAAAGTCTACAAAAGTCATTGAAATTCTAAATTGAATACATCCTTACAAACTAAAAGACTTGATCAAATAAAATATTTAAAAATATAATTACAAGTTGCATAAAATAAAAAAAAAATCTAATATTAATAATATATATATATATATATATATATATATATATATATATATATATATATATATATATATATATATATATAATTATACTTGATATATTGCTAGGCATCACGCAAAGAATTATTATTTGCAATAGCAATTTGAGACTGCAAACAACAACAAGGTGCTACTGTTTGCAACCCCAAATTGTTGTTGCGAACAGTAATTCGCTATTCGTAGTAACATGTTGTTTAAAAAAAAAAGGAAAAATATATATTATGAATATAAGCATAAAAAGAATAAAAATCAAAATATATAAGTATTTATATGAATATTATGCAATATATACTCAAATTTGACAATGAAAATTTTGTTTTGTTCATGTATTTAGGGAGAATTAGAGAAAGTTAGGGATAAAAAATTTATAGAAAAAAAAATAAAAATCAATATAAACAAGCAATAATGAAGTAAAAATAATATTATTTCAAATTTTTAGATGAAGATTCTAAAAGTTTAGGAGAGATAGAAAAATTGGTAGAGTTTAGGTATGAGGAAAATATATGATAAAAGAAGAAAAAAAAATAATTTTATTGAATTTAGATAGGTTTATAGAGACCAGGACTATGTTGTCTAATGGTATCCGAGTTGAACTTCCATTTGGAAGGTTGTGAGTTCGAGCCTCAGTGGAGGCGCTATTGGTTCTTTGTGTTTCAGTAGGTTGAGAAAGTATACCAACCCCTCCACTAAAGCAACATAAATACCAACTCGAGCTGCAACCTCTGCGCCTCTTGCCCTCCCTGCTCCCAGTTTGTTTGATACCCTCGTACTTCGTTAGGATTAAATGCTTACCATTAGGTTAAAAATTATACTTAATAGCGAAGACGCAACTTTATTTCTAATGCAGGGTGTTGGACTTGACCCTCTAGACCTCCACTCAACAATCTCCTAGCCACATGGTGGTGCTAGAGCACCTGCCAACTTTAATTGCTGACTCAACTAGCTGATACCACTTGTTAGATCAAATGTTTACCACTAATATGCCAAAAGTTATAACTAGTAGCTAGCGGAACTTTATTTCGTTAATTATATATACAACATATTTTTAAGAGGCAAGGTGCTGGACTTAGGCCCTCAAGACCTCCCTCCATCCAATAATTCTCTAGCCACCTGATGTTGGACTTGATCCTTCACCGACCTCCCTGCCATTTGTCTCACTACTACAAAACTTGCCATTTGCGTATGTTGTAACAGACAACACAACAACCAACCACTAGCATTATATTCTTACCTCACTGCACAGCCAAGTCCATAGGGGATCATAAACACCACAGTAGAGGTACACATGCTGAGAAATATAATTATATCTAAAAGTCAGCTAATAAGACATGATAATACTAATTAATCAAATGAATCACACAATACTATGGTTATGGGAGTAGTATACAAACCTTATAGACATCATTGATGTCTCAAGCTTTGGATCAGGAAGAAGACCAGCCACAAGTACTAGACACTCATATGCCCATCTCACCACACTGAGCCAAGTTTTCAATAAAACCTCATAACTAAGGAAATTAAAACAGGTAAAATGAGACAGAAAGAGTATTGAGCCTCGAGCTTACCAAAGCATGAGAGCTGAAGGAATACCTAGTGATAGAAAGCTGAATAAATTCTTCCCACCCTCTTTAGAAATCCCTGTCCATGTCGTCTTGCAGGACGGCGAAAACCCGATATATAATCCCAAAATCAGCACGATGATCCAGTACGAGATCGAATTGCAGAGCGCAGCGCCTTTGTTCCCGAGCCCGAATTTGAAAACCAGAAGCCAACACAGGAAGCCATGGATCAAACTTGTCAACCCTGTGCTTATTGCCAGTGGCTTGAGGATGCTTTGTGTCTGCAAGAATGTGATTTGGCATTGCAGGATCCCATAGGGGAAAATGCTGGGAATCAACCACCGAGCATAGGTACCTGCGTTTGCTGAAATTTCAGAATCTTGTTTGCAAAAAGCAAAGATTTCCCCAGCAAAAGCCCATACAAGTGAAATGGGGATTCCCAGTGTCATCATTACAACTACAGCTCTCTGCATATGTATTCCAACCATCCCATGTTGTTTCGCTCCGTATGCTTGTCCACAGAATGTCTCCAGCGCACCTACCATTCCATCCTGTAACGGAAAACAACACAATTTTTTTAGACTTATCCAGGGATGACCACGATTTGGTTCGAACCAAACTTGACATGAGAACCACAGGTTCGTGTTCGAAAGCTGTAGGGTATAGAAAATAGAATTTCCGAAAAAAAAAAAGAAGGTTCCAACTGGTGGATCAAAATGGAACTGGAACCTTCCTAAAAGGTTACGGTTCGGATTTGTCATTTTCTGGAATGTGGATGGACGGTTCGGACCAGGAACTGAACCGCGGTGATATCTAAATCTATTAATGGTATTTGTTCAAAAAATGTTGTCAAGACTCAAACCTCAAATCTTCCTTAATTATGAAAAAAAACACAAATTCTGAATCAAATAAATGTTATAATTAATCGGTCTCCGCCCAAAAATTTTCCAAGTACTTGTAAGCCTTAATTGCACAATTTACTCTTGTTGGGACTCGGACCTTAGGTTGTAGCGAAGACTCAATTTTATTTTCATATATGACTACTACATTTTTTAGAGACAGGGTGCTAAACTTGACCTTTAGGCCTCTGCCCAACAATCCTCTAGCCACTTGGTGCTGGAGTTGGCTCTTCACCGAACCAACCGGACTTCGACCAACAGAAAACAACACAAATTCTGGATCAAATGAATGTTGTAATAATTAAACAAGAAAATGTTAGAGTTTGAGTTTAAGGTAAAATGTAATGTACCACGAAGCTGAAACCAGTGACTTGAGCAAAAGAAGTGGCCAATGAAGCACCAGAGAGTGGGAGCTCTCCCAGATGGCCTATAAACATGAGAGATATCATCTGCAAACTATACTTCAAGAAGCTTACAAGAACTAGAGGTCCAGCTAGCTGTAATTGTTTCTTTAGCTCTTCAGTTGTCTCAGATAAATCTCCCCAATAGTCCGACAGGCGTCGGAGACATGTAAAACCATCATTTTCAGTCAAAGGAGATTCAAGAAGATCTTCACACAACTCAGGATTCATGGTCATGATAGTAACAATATAATGTGTTACAATATGAAGGAGAGTATTAATGGAGTGGTTCATTGATCATTACTTCCTTAAATAGCATTGATATTCTTAGAACAACAACAATAGTTGTTTTTGTTTTTTGTTTTTTTTTTTTTTGATTGGGTTTTTGCAGACACGGAAAGAGAAATATGTTAGGAGGGGAAACTAGTTAAAAAAAAAAAAAAAAAAAAAAACAAAACAAACAAACAAATAAAAAAAAAAATGATTTTCGGCCGACGCGTGCACTGCATGCACATTTTGCATGTTTCTTTCTCAAATTCTTCCAACCCGTTGGGTCCATAAAAAACTTATATTTGAAAAAAAAAAAAAAAAACTCATGTTTCTTTCTAGGGATGACAATTTCAATCCGCCCCGCGGATATCCACCTCAATCCACTTTGCATGGATCGGGTTTTTTTGGGTGATGGTGAGCGGTGGGTCGGGAGTGAGTGTTAAAAAAGTAAACCCGTTGTGGGTCGGGCTGAATTCAGATTTTATATACAAAACTCGCCTAGAACCCCACCCGACCCACCATGTGTGTGTATATATATATACTATACTAGTTTTTTACGCGCATTGCGCGATTGAGATAATGCCCAATGTTTTTTTTTTTGTAATAAGTACTTTAAAGTATATCAAGGCAAGATTATATTGGAATTGTTATGCATAGATAACTGAATGCATAAATAGGTAATTCTAAGTTTACAAATGCAAGATAATATTGTCAAGATTGATTATAATTGTCAATAAAATAATTGTATAGGTATGATTGAAACCAAATACGGGACATAAGGGGGAGCAAATAAAAATTAGGGAATAAAATATTAAACTAATATTGAAGAGCTAACTGCTGATTGTCAAACAAGGACATTACGAGGTAATTTTCCACTTCAATTTGTTGTGTGATTTGAATACCCTTTTTGTCAATAAATCCCCCAAGTAGTTAATATGATTGGCTTAATTATATTTTTTATTTTTTTATTTTTTTAAAAGGATTATTATTATTATTATTATTATTATTATTATTATTATTATTATTATTATTATTATTATTATTATTATTATTATTATTATTATTATTATTATTATTAAATGTATGTATACCCTTAGGTCATTTTATATGTTAATCTAAACAATTATTTTTTTCAAATATCTTTTTACCAACCGTTGATATAATTCGCTGGTCAAATCCGCTAACGCTAACTGCTGATTGTCAAACAATGACATTGCGAGGTAGTTCTCACTTCAATTTGTTGTGTGATTTGAATACTCTCTTTGTCAACAAATCACTCAAGTAGTTAATATGATTGTCTTTATTAATTATATATTTTTTAATTTTTTCATAGTATTAATAAAATACTTAGTATATATAACATTATTTTGTATTATAATTTTGAAATTTAATTAAAAAATATTGCACAAAAAAGATAATAGACAATGTAGTGAATATAATCAATTGATGAATTTGAATGTAAAGAATTTTTATATTGGAGAAAAATAAAACAATCCTTGCGATGAATCTCAACCCCCTCTCTCTCCTCCATATTGGCTCTTTTTTTTCTTAAAAATTGTGCATTATCCACATATGTGGATGCTCTAAGGAATCTCTCTCTTCAAAACTTCATCCAATCAGAATACATGATTAGTGGTATGATTTTAAATTTAAATTGACGCTATCATCCATCAACGGACAATTCAGCAGTTGGAGGTTAAGTAACTAAACATTTTTTTTAAACACTTATGATTTTTTTATAAAGTAATATCTATTGTGTACTCCTCATTAGGATGAATTTGATCATATGACCACCTGTTTGAAATTATAACAGATGTGTCATCACACTATATAGTAGTTCGCAACTAGCTAAACAATTTATATTGCATAATTTTTACTTGTTTGATGGGTTAATTGTACTTTTTTCTAGTTTAGTAGTTTAAATGCATTTTCGTGTATAATTCAATGACTTATTTGGCACTTTTTTTCTTTTTAAATCATATGGCTTTTCCAAAATCCTTACATTTATTTAAAAATTTGAAGGAAATATATGTTATATATATATATATATATATATATATATATATATATATATATATATATATATATAATTAGGTTCAAATGTGGTTGGTGCGCCCAGGTGCGGTTGTGCAATGAGAAGAGAGCCATTGATTTTGCTTAAATCAACATCTAGGATTACTCAAATTTAAAATAAAATAAAAATGCGGTGGCAATTTGGTAATTTTTGCATATAGATCAAATTTAAGGTGCGTGGTTTTTGTGCTTAAGTGCGTGAGTTTTGTGTTTAAGGTGCGTGAGTTTTGTGCTTAAGGTGCGTGGTTGTGTACTTAATGTGAGTAGTTGTTGAAACTTAAGGTGCGGGCGTGAGTTTTGTACTTAAGATGCGTGAGTTTGAGCTTTATAAGGTGCGTGAGTTTTGTACTTAATGTGAGTGGTTGTTGAAACTTAAGGTGAGTGGGGTTTCTTCTTAAGGTGCGTTGTTTTCCTTCTTAAGGTGCGTCTGTTCTGAAACTTAATGTGAAGCATTTTAAAACATTAGGTGCGTGGTTTGTGTTTTTAAGGTGCTTTGTTGTTTGCTTAAGGTGCGTGGTTTGTGTTCTTAAGGTGCGTGATTTGTGTTCTTAATGTGTTTTGTTTGTGTGCTTTAGGTGCGTGGTCTGTGTACTTAAGGTGCGCTATTTTAATGCTTAAGGTACGTTCATCGCATAATCGTACGGGAACCTTTCCCCACACCTAAACCCTTCCCTATATATATGTATGTGTGTGTGATTTTGATCTCTCAATTGTTGACATTTTGTAAGTCTTACCCTTGTCTTTTTCGTTTTTTAAATGTTGCCCTTACTGTCTAAAATATTATAAAATTAATCAATGATGTTAGTATATGTTATGAAAAATCTGACACATTTCGTGAATAGGAATCTGTGACACAATTTCATAGGAGATGTTACCTAATAAGTGACATGACATAATAATGTAAAAACAATGAATGACAAGAGCTAACAAACTACATTAAATTGTTCTAAGTTATTTGATGATAAATTGACAGGATTGTATAAATTAAGAAAATAAATTTGATATAGTAAACAATGTCAAAATAAATAAATAAATTAGTACATATTCATGAGAAATGTGTCATTTCGGGATTCGTTGGCACTCGACATATGTGATATGCATGTGGGAGAGGTTCCATTTTAACCACTGCATGTATAGAGTAGTAATAGGGAAATGGTACTTTAATTGTAAACTGTACTTGAGTCCAATAGCGATGGCAATGGGGATGGGGGGACGAGAAGTATACTCCCGTCCTCTTTTTCGAAACCTTCACCTTGCATCTGTTCCTGTTTTTAACAGGGAATTGAAAATAGTCTTCATTTTCGTTCCCGCAAAGAATTAAGTGACGGTCAACTCTTAGTCAAAATTTTAAATTAGTGTAATTTTTAATTTTAAACATTAAACTAAAAACATATTGTACTTGACTCCAATAGCGATGGCAATGGGGAAGGGCGGGGACGAGAAGTATACTCTCCGTCCTTGTTTTCGAAACCTCAACCTCGCCTCTATCCCTGTTTTCAACAGGGAATTGAAAATAGTCTCCATTTTCGTTCCCACAAAGAATTAAGCGGCGGTCAACTCTTAGTCAAAATTTTAAATTAGTGTAATTTTAAATTTTAAACATTAAACTAAACACATAAGTCTTAATTTAATATATATATATATTATTCGGGGAGGGGGCAAGGCAGGGAGTGGTATCCCGTCTCCGTCCTTGTTTTTCGAAAATTTTCTCCATCTTCATTCCCGCCATAGCAGGGATCGGGGATCTCATCAGGGACCAGGGACGGAGCCAGAAATTATGTTAAGGGGGGGGGGGGGGGGGGGGCAAAGAAGTAGGGCTGGATTCAGTGGTGAATCCGGGAATTTTTTTCGGTGGGAGCAAAAAATTAAAAGAAAAGAGAAATTTTGAAAAAAAAAAAATGAAACACTTAAGTATAACAATAAATATTGTTGGATATAGCGAAAATAAAACATATTAAAATTTTATAAAAATATTTATAACAAAATATGAAACATAATTAATTTGATAAAACAATTCAAATATAAAACACATTATAAATTACACATCCCATTATTAATATAAAGAAAGTTATATATACATCCCATTATTAATATAAAAAAAGTGATATATACATCTCATTATTATTATAAAAAAGAAAGACATCTCATTATTAATATATATGTATGGATGCCAAAATTTAATTGTGTTGAAGCATAGATGTAGAAGATTGTAACCTTGCATTAATATAAAAAAAAAAAGTGATATATACATCTCATTATTATTATAAAAAAGAAAGACATCTCATTATTAATATATATATATGGATGCCAAAATTTAATTGTGTTGAAGCAAAGATGTAGAAAGCTTTTATCGTGCTAATGCAAGGACTTGAACCCAAGCAATTTCTAAATCCAAATGCACCTCTTACCACCTTGTCTACTAAAGCTTTTGATTACATAATCTGTTCTATAATAGTTATACTTATAATGTACTGTGTGTGTATATATATATATATATATATATATATATATATATATATATATATATATATATATATATATATATACATACATACATACATACATACAAAGGCTATATATAGGGTAGGGGTAGGGGTGGGGGTGGGGTGAGGGTGGGCAGCTGCCCCCCCTTTTCCTCCGTCCCTGTCAGGGACGGAATAATAAATTGACATCTCTAACTTTCAATCATATCCCCAGTCGACCTACGGTAGTCACATGTTGAATTGTTTCACGGATTTTGATCGATTATATTTAACGGTTCCTAAAAAAAGATATTAGTCAAATTTTAATTATAATATTTTAATATCAAATATATCTTATAATTAAATATCTTAATTATGAGCATTGCCAGTTCTATAAATTTAACCTTGTTAGCCTTGCACTCTTTCATTGGTATTA